AAACGCTGTGCAAAAATGGCCAGGCTTGCCGATATTTAGATACAACTTACTATATTTTTACACATATTAGCATAATTATCAAACTATAAAATCAAAATCCAATACCATTCACATCATATCTTTTCTGGTTCTATTTGTGGGCATACACATATATTGTTAAAAGGAATAATTAGCTATATTTTAAAATATCATTAGATATTGCAAGAAAGTCATATTTCAAGTTGAGCAGTAACCATTTCTGGGAATGAATGAATCATTATGAATAAAAATGAATGAAAAACACCTGACACCTAAATTCAGCATCCACAACCAGGAACATTAATTGGTCGCTCACTTTATTTTAAGCTAGTAGAGTAATTACAGTAAAGCGTATGAAAATGAATTCTATTTCGTTTCAGTTTCACGTTTCTACATTTTCTGCGCTGCTATATTTAGCTATTATGGCGGACATCGACTATGGAGCGCTGCCATTGGCATTTTTGCGATCAGTAGTTAAAATAAAGGACACGAGTTGTGCAGCTGATTTTGATCTTGATAATTGTTTGTCGATTAAATACATAGTTGACAGTAAGACGTATAATTCTCCATATTAGTTATCCCAGTTTTGGTCGCAACACACAATAGGTTTCTTTATACTTCTCGTGGTGGAACATACATATATGTAAATGGTTATATGTTTATTGTGAACAAGAAGAAAAGGGGAAAATGGATCTCGTGGAGATGCATTCAGAACGACTGCATATCAGTCTTAACAGTGAACGACATAATTTCCCAAGTACCTGGAGACCACAACCACGGACCTGTACACAGCGAAGTCAAAGTGAATCTTTTCGACTGTACCAAAAATACTGACGGCCCCCGCACAAACAACAACCTCCGGGGTTGCAATTGGCATGGCCGTCTCATGAAGGTTGTGGTAAAACAACATCCCACCCTATTCGAGATGGCCAAGTTCCTGGAAGATGAACAAGGACTGAACGAGGCAAAGATGCTTCAGTACAATGCCGGCCAAAGACTGTCCCCAAATAGAAGTACAGAGATTTGGAGGAACGACTAGATACCTTGAAGTTCAGGCTTGCAAATAACCACCCGACATTGATGGAGTACCTGGACAATGACAGATAGACAGATAGACAGTCACACAGGCTTTATTCAGTAGTTAAGGCCCAGTGGCCCAGAGTACAATTGAAGTTACTCAATTACAACTATTGGTCACGTGACATTAAATTATGATTTTACATGTGATTTACGGATGGACATCAAATGTTTCATGAAAATGGCAACAGATTTAATAATATCAGCATTATTAGAATTAAGTACATTGAATATCGTTTGTGGGGCATCATTAGTGCATTTTAAATACTTCTTTCGGCAGGCAGAGAAAGTCTTACAGACTAATAATAAGTGTCGTTCGTCTTCAGTTTTACCAGAAGAACAATAAGAACATGATAAATCTTCCAATATATTATTATCTTTTCTAAAACGTTGTATTTTTAAGGCATGAAGAGAGATTTTAAATTTGCAAAAAAAAATCTTAAAAGGGACTTATCATTAAGAACACTGACATATTTTGCAGGTCCGAACATCGATTTACATTGTGAATAATGACTAAGAAAACTGGATGAATTGACTGATGCGTATCAACTCTGAATATATATCTTTTATTCGTTGTTTAAATGTTGACAAAACATTTTTATATCACCAACATTTTGCTTAAACCAAACATGAGAAAACTCGCTTGAAAATAACATATTTCTCACATCTGAAGCCCATGAATACTTTCCACATTTATCCAGTGATAACAATATTTGACAGCTTTGATGGGGGTAGCGATAATCAGGCATTCTTATAAGTTTAATCCAGTATCTAATAACTCTCATTTGACTCTCAATATGCATGTTATAGCATCCTGATTCGCCAAGTATGGCTTTATTGGAAGCAAATATACCTTCAGTAAGAAATCTTTTAAAATAAGATGCATGGACATTTTCAATGGCTTCGAAATAATTTGCTCCCCATATTATATGGGAAATTATGACATGATTATATATGTCAAAAGAAATATACTAAATTACAACCTTTTGTAATATGTTATAAAGGATCAAAGAAAGTATACATTTACACACACACACATTCTTATTCTAAACCGTAAACAACACCATCCCAAATCCGATAGCCAGCGCGTATGCATATGCTTAAATTTGCTAGTACACATGAAAGGCAAAATGGTATTATATCTACTAGTACCTAAATACTTCTTTATAGAGTCGCAAAGCGTAGTATTTTAAGCAAACACGTTGCTCGAAGTGAAGCCTTCATTTCTATATATTCTCAACAAACACACTGTGTCACAAGCGTTCGGTCGGGTTGGCTCGAGTCGTCAAAGCACCTAACACCTCAAAGGTGTATCTTTAATTGTGCTTAAATCCATAGATTAGTATTATATCTACCTACATATCACATTGAAATGTTACAAAATGCCACATGTAAAGGTAACTGCTCCGTTAAAGTGAAGCCCTTGTCTGCCCACCCTCAAAATAGCCTCAATCAAAAGTGTTCAGTCTGTTCGGCCCGACTTGGCCCGGGCTGTCAAAAAGCAACTTAAACCTCACACATGTATCTTGAAATGTGTTTAAATCCATAGATCATTATTATATCTACCTAAATGCCACATTGTGATGTTACAAAGAAAACTGGGTCTATAAAGTGGTATTTAGATAGATATAACTATATTCATTGGATGTAAACAGAATCTAGGATTCATCTGTGAGACTTCAAGATACATGTGCGAGGTTTAAGTTGCTTTTGACAGCTCCGGCCAAGTGCGGCCAACAGAAACTTAACACTTTTGATTGAGGCTATGTTGAAAATAGAGAGTGAGTGAGTGAGTGAGTTTAGTTTTACGCCGCACTCAGCAATATTCCAGCTATATGGCGGCGGTCTGTAAATAATCGAGTATGAACCAGACAATCCAGTGATCAACAGCATGAACATCGATCTGCGCATTTCGGAACCGATGACATATGTCAACCAAGTCAGCGAGTCTGACCACCCGCTCCCGTTACGACAAGCATGGGTTACTGAAGGCACTTTCTAATCCGGACCTTCACGGGTGAAAATGGAGAGAGGAAGGGGCTGGAAAAGTGATATATAGGTAGATGTAATACTAATCTGTGAATTAAAACGCAATTCAAGATACATGTGTGAGGTTTAAGCTGCTTTTGACGGCCCGAGGTATGCCGGACCGAACAATAGTGGCGGTGATTATGTTTAGAGTGTGGGGAAGAGATCGTTTCATTTGAAGATGGGTATGCCTTACATACAATGAACAGTGGCCTTCTAGGGTGGTATTTGATTGGATATAGGTGTAAAAACATTTTCGGGTGGACAGAAATGTTTATCGGGAGTGACTGAAGCATTTTTTGCGTTTTAAATCCTGTTTCGTTTAACGATTCTTCTTTTAGACGTAACCTTGGTCAGCCACGTTCAGAGGCCGATAACCACTCGATATAGTCCGACGTCGTCCACGACGTCGTTCACGACGTCGCCCACGACGTCGCCCGTTATTTTTGTAGCCAAAATATATTTTACAAAGCGCGACGTCGTCTTTTTTATGCGACGTCGTGGGCGACGTCGCCCACGACGTAGTTCTTTTTTTACGCGCCACGCGATGGCAATTATAGGACACCATATCTATCAGATATGTTTTACCAGCACTTTAATAGCTATTCCATGTACTTTATTTCTCCTGCTAGTATCAGACTCAAAAACTCCCTTTGAAGGAAATAGAATACTGGACTTCCCAAAGGCTGACTGACTGAGTTTAGTTTTACGCCGCTTTTAGCAATATTCCAGCAATATCACGGCGGGGGACACCAGAAATGGACTTCACATATTGTGCCCATGCGGGGAATCGAGCCCCGGGTCTTCGGCACTTCCCAAAGGAATTAAATAATACCTTCTACATAATATGAAGGTATTTTGCTATATTTCAAGGAGATGTGACTTCTATTATTTGAAATTTGTAAATAATTTCAGGGCTTGATATGTTGAGTTATTCCCTATTCAATAACAAAAGATAGAAAGATTTGGTTATTCTAACCAACCGAGAAACAAATAATTTCAGGTTGTTTTTCTAACCCTAAAATAAATATAGGAAGAGTTACGATTTCCTTCACGTTGAATAAATGGAAGCTAATGCTATTTTTGCCCTACCTCTGCAAACAGAGGGTTACTTGCACGTAATGTGAACATACCAGCTGCGCTTGAAACAAACAAACGTAATTAACAATTGTACTCAGGAGGGTTGTCTGATATTCTGTGTTCGAAAGATCAAGAGAGTGAGCAATAACATTGTATCCTCATGGTTTCAATCAAATTGCGATAAACACATTTAAACATGAACAAAAGATGACTTCATAACTGCACATTTTTTCATCTCATTGTGATCTCATTGTGCTGTGAGCTTCTGCTGTGTACTTGTAGAAGAATCGTGTTAGTTGCGTTCAAACTTCCATGCGGTTGATGATAGCATGTTGCCCTGGAGTGTGCAGGATGGCACATTTTCTGTCGTAAGAAAGTAACATTTATCAGCTGCTCTTGCACAAACGATTTGACCTCTCGCCAGGTCTATTTTCATCTCTAACATACATATCAGTGGTTCTTGAGATATCTCTTTCTAATCGTTTGTGACAATCGTGGTCTGTTTTCGAAAACTCGTACCATACATATTATTGAAAACTAACTTTTTTACAGCCTGATGGCTTCTGGTGCTCCAAGTCAATGCACTTTGTGCGTGAGCAAACGAAGGCTTGCATGTCGGTATCAGTTGGTCCGGATGTGTTCAATCATTTGTGACAATCATGGTCTGTGTTCTAGAAATCTATCCATAGCATATTATTCAGAACTATTTTTTGCTGTCCGGTGCTTTTTGTAGACACACACTCCAAGTCAATGTAGTTTGGGCGTGAAGGTCCGTGTGACAATTGGTCTTCAGCAATCCATGCTTGTCGTAAGAGGCGACTAACGGGATCGGATGGTCATACTCGCTGACCTGGTGGACACATGTCATCGTATCCCAGCTGCCTAGATCGATGTACATGCTGCTGTCCCGATTCGATTATTTACTGTGCGACTGTAATCCCCACACACAAACAAAACTTTGGTAGTGGGTTAACAAAGGCATGGGCGTCTATATCAATTGATCTAGTGTTTTCAGGGGTTAGAAAGCCAATTGATTGCAGGATGATAACACTCTTTTCAATCTCTCCAAGCTCCCAAAGCTGTACAACATAATGTAAATATGATGTGAATGACCAATCCTACTGTAAACTATATCAGAATGTTGATGTTTTAATCTGATATTTCTTGACCTTTATCATGCAATGAGGGATTCATCTCGACTTCTACCGATTACATATCACAGACTGTAGAGCCGCACAAATAAATTGGGAAACTGGGAGAATACATACCGTATTTATTGCAAATCACTTCGTTCCTTTTTGTCAAAGATCAAACTCAATTTACTGATTAGATCAGAAATTATTCTTGAGGGTCAAGAAGAGGGGAGGGTGTTGGCATCACACACTCGAGTGACTTTTATCTTTTTTTAACGTTTTCCAGAAAAACACACCAAAGCATCATTTTGCCAAGATATATGACATCTAAAACTAAAGTTAATGGTTTGCACATACAGTTTAAAACCAATCGGTACTTTGGCGATCTCTTGTGTTTCGTGTGTTCCTTCCTAAAGAGAAAGAAGAAAGAAGAGGACCCTTTCCACATCCGTAAGAAATGTCTGCTAATGGTAGATTGTACAATACTGACTATAACATGAGTGTTTTTCTGACGCCATACAACGCAGTCTATTAACAATGGAGTCTGGACCAGACAATTAAGTGATTGACACCCTGAGATGCGATGACAGAGCACATGTTTATGACAACATTATCAAATAGTGATGGTAAAAGGTGAGCGTATCCTGCCCCATCGGTGACATAAACATACGTTCAACAAAGATTCACCTGAAAAAATATCGGGAACGTCTGGTTTAAGTCAAAATTGGGATTTGCATCGGAATTGTTGGAAGGCTTTTCTCAGGCCGGCCTTGCATGTTGTAACCTTTATCGAACAACGTCTGAACAGGTGACGCCCTTTGAGTTCTTAGTAATATTTGCATGTTCAATTATATCTCAAAAGTTCACAATGGGAAAGGTGAAATCACCCCTTTTGTCATACCGCTTTGTTTTTGTAATCTCTGAATCTTTATCCATAGATATAAATATGAAACAGCTGAGACATTCTCCTTTGTCTCCCATATCTCCCATTTAAATGACATTTGTTTTCATTCTTGACAACTTGTCCTCAACCTCTGAAGATAGATATGTAGGTACATCTCTGTTCACCAATTTTTCTTTACAGATGCCTCACGGATCATTGAATGACGTTTTTACTTAAGATTTGTCATGTGGGATGGTTTTGTACAACGTTGTGACAGAACTGAACTCGGTCCGTTTCTGAGATTGTTGAAACATTCCTGCAAGTCCCTTGATTTTTTTAGGATTATCCATGGCTCAATTCCGCGTGTCTCAAATACATTTTTAAAATAAAGAGAAGGGTCTTCCTTTATAGTAATAAGGATTATGGTTAATCTTTGAGCGATTTGATAGTACATTTGCTAGTACGGATGTTATGTAGCTTTGGAATCCAGTACAAAAGAGGAATGTCCACGGCTTCAGAACTGGATGAAACTGTGTTCATATAGGAAATGGATTATTGTTGTTTTTTCCTGAAATCGGAAATATTTTGGCACATTTAGGGAAACTGATCTTTATCTTAGAAAATCCCAAATATCAGATGTTGGAACGTGTAGTCTTTGTCTGATTCAGTCTGTTCCTAGTTCGACCAAACGTTTCGAAGCAATATCAAGAACTATACTCTCTAGTTGATACTGTTTGCATGACATTGTTGTCACACTTTCAAGGTTCAAAGTCGTAACCGAAAACTGTGTGTATGTAACACCCAGCTGACGAAAGTGTACGGACAATGAGATTGTGCAGTATTAGATGCTGGTAAAGTACGTTTTCCATGTTCATTAGCACACTTTCCCACGAAAGTAGCACTTAATAGTGAGTGAGTGAGTGAGTTATTATTTAACGTCACATCGGCAATATTTCAGCCATATCGTGACGAGAACATATGTGACATTGAAATGGAATAGATGTATATTATAAAAACCTGTCGACGAAGGACAGTAAAACAACTAGAATATCACAATTACAACTAAAACTAGTGTGGAAAATTAAAACTAATATGGCTATTTGGACAATACAATATAAAAACAGGCTATAGATCGCCACAAATGAAGGTAGATCACCAAACTAGGGACCATGGGGACTTACAGTACTTTTGCTACCTGCATGGACCCTAGCTGGATTTATATCATCCCTTCAGCCGCTGGCGATTGAAGTCAAATTTAGCTAAAATTAAAAGGACAAGAATACTACATTTAAAACAGCTGGTAAATTTAAATTTCCTTTGAATGTTTCAGGACTTACGTACCCTCTCAGGAGGACAATAGTTTTACGCAAATTCAACCCCCTTTGGGGGTACAGCCACTAACAATCTCAGTTACTACGCTAAACTACCAATAATAAAATATGTATCTATTTACAAATCAGTTAACAAGTCTTAGTCTTTTAAAAATGCAATAATTAAATGAGAACTAATATATTAGTAAAAAGATCCTTCATGGTTCGTGAATGAAATAGTTATCCCTTGTGATGGAATATTCAACACAGTCAAGCAAGACATTCTTGACCGTGATTCTTTCATCAGAAGGGATACAAAACGGAGGATCCTCACCTTTTAATAGGTACTCATGCGTATATCTTGTGTGGCCAATACGACATCGTCGTATGATGACCTCTTCAAATCTGGACTGACAACCCAAGTAGGTGTAACCGATAGTTTTATTGCATGTAATCTATTGATACCTACTTGGGTGTCCCACATCTTTTGCATCAAATCACGGATGTAAGTTCTAATGCTAGCTTTATAATCAGAGAGAGTATGGGATAAGAAGTGGTGTCACAGATTTGTTGAGTGCTGCCTTGGCAGCAAGATCGGCCACTGTGTTCCCAGAAATGCCAACGTGGCTGGGTAACCAACAAAAGACGATGTCGTATTGGCCAGTAGCTAGCGCATTATACAATTCAATAATTTCTAATAAAAGTGGATGTTTACAAGAAAGATTTTTAATAGCCTGAAGACGAGAAAGAGAATCGGAAAAGATTATGTATTGTTTATATTTACGGTGTTTATTAATACTATATATTTAAGAGCTGTTAATATGGCGGTAGCTTCTGCTGTGAAAATAGAGCTGTTATCTGTTAGTCGAGAGATATTGGTCTGGATCCAATGACAGTGGCACATGCCATCGCGCCACCATCCTTGGACCCATCTGTAAATAAGGATTTGTATGTATTATATTTATTTTTTAATTGATTATATTCTTGTTTATATTGTAATTCATTAGTTACAGATTTCTCAAACTTTGTCACAGTTAGGTCAACTTCAGGTTAACCCCCAGTAGCTCTAGGCCCTGAAGGAGAAAATAAATTATATTGTCTTACATCAAATTGACCTATATTAAGATAGGTTTCCTGTAAACAAAATGCCGATGGTTTTTAATCTTCAATCAGTAACTGTCAATCATTATAATTGTTCCTTAGTCCTCTACAATTCCACTGAACAATACTGTTTGAGCAGTTCATGGAGGCTCAATAAGAGATCGTACAATGGGGTTTTCTCCCATGGCTAGGGAGCGAAGGATTGACCTCCCATGTCCAAAGGTGCACACTGATTGTAAACCTTTACTGAAGGTGACTGAGAGGAAGGCACCTCCAAATGCTGGAGAGTTCTGGTCGTCTTTTTTTATTGCATTTTCTCTTTTTTTCCATTTTTTGATATGTTTGATTGTGCGTGTGTTCATTCTGGCACAGATTCTGGTTCAGATGAACGATCTAATGAAAGTGATGCTACACGTTCTGAAGCTGAAGAAGATATATTTGACGGAGATGGAGAGATCTGAGCATGATCATCGATAATGATTTTTTCATGAACCCAAGATAGGGATGTTTGACAGGCAGTTGAAGTCAGGGAAGGTCTGGAGGCAGTGGTATGAGAGGAAACTGCATCTGAGTACAATATAGTTGAATTAGTCTAGAGATGAACAAACTATTTCGCTTCAACATAAGAAATATTGTTCGTGTGTTTGATTTTTTAAATTCTTGTTTCACGATCATACAATGGGCAGGATTTGGATGAGGCCAAGTGGTCTCCGTCGTAGTTCGCACACTTGATGTCATTTGTGCATTTGGAGGGCTCGTGAGCGCCTCCACAACGGGAACAGACCGTGTTGTTACGGCAGAACTTGGACCCATGACCAAAGTTTTGACATTTGAAACATCGGAGTGGAGTTGGTACATATACCTCCACCTCAATGTTAAAGTATCCGGCTTTTATACACTTCGGAAGAGTCGAAAGTGCAAATGTAAATAGATAGGTAGTAAGTTTAGTAATACTGCCATCATCTCTCTTTTTGGTAAATCGCTTTACAGCGATCACCCCTTGATTTTTCCGCTCAGCTGCAATGTCCTCCTCACTCATGTCAGAAAGACAATGAGCCCTGTCTCTGATTATACCTCTGCAGGAATTAAAAGTTCTATGTACCGATACAACAACGGGTGTATTGAGGAACTGTTTTAATTTTAACAGATTATCTGATTGTTGTTTCCGCAGACATTCCAGTAACTTCACCTCCCCACAGACACCTTGAATGCCCTTTGAAATAGCGAATGGGTTCAGTTTCAAAGGATTGTCACCTATAGATGAGATCACAATGAATCTCGGCCATGATTCAACTATGTCAGGAGATCCTTCATCTGATGATGTAGATACCACATGTCTACGTTTGTGTTTTGATGATCCAGATTGAATAGAAAAAGCCATGGTGTTTCAAAGGTGTTCAACATCCCTGCTCCCCACCCGCCATGGAGTGTCAAAAAGGACAGTATTACAGCGGAAGCCAGGCTGTTCTACCAGGGCTACAGGGATGTTATACTCCAGCAAATAAAAACATAAACAGCTGTAGAATCTGAAAGAAAAAATGTCAGGCTGGTTCGCCCATGACATCATTCTGGAGAAACACAGAATTCAGCGGTTTATATTGCCAGATTGGCCCATGAGCCACCGCCATCTGGCATAGGACTCTAGACATATTACTCTATTTATATAATTTATACATTATAATTCAAAATAGCCAAGACCAAAATAACAAAGTTTGTGCAAAAAGATAAACCATGCACAGGGCTCGGCGTGACCAGCCGATTGGTAGAACCGGGCCCATTCTACCACCCGTCTAGGTGAAGTAAAGGGGCGAAGTGGTGTGTTGGGCAAAAGGAACACGGTTCCAGGCTCCCAGTGCCCTCCCCCACCCGCCTGTCCCCCACCGACAAATGGTCGCAACCGACGGCAGACGGGTTATTGGGGGGTTGAAGAGCTCTCGGCGTTACCCAGCACCCACAACGAGGAGGTCCTTGCATCCATTTGGCAAAATTGAACGATGAGTGTCACATTTAGTTCGTAATCGTATGTATTCCCTCTGATATTTAATTTATTTTGTGTCAGATTCTAATTGTAGTTGGAGAAAGATCAACGTCAGGCCCGATTTATTGCCGAGGAGGATCGGAAAGATGGAGATATTATATCAAAGTTGATTTTAGCATCTTTAATGTGGGGTTTTATCCAAATTACAAGTCGAGTGAAAGGCCTGGGTATATTTTGAAACAAGTCTGTCAGCTGTCAGGTTTGAACGTAATTATAGGTGTTTATACTGAAAGGATAATTTTAAACGACGTTTTTCTCGGGGAAGGCCCATCAGCACCGTTGTGGGGCACTATGAAAACTTCATTTGAAGGACAAAATGTAGTGTACATATCATTCACAGACTGAAGACGTACTTGGTAAAATGGCGAATAATTGTATGTACACGCATAAACTGGAAGCAATAGAACAACATTTATCTGGGATCAACACAAGGCACACGAACCTAAATAGTCATATCCAAAATATCTGTCACAAATAACCCCACTATGAATGAAGAAATAGTCATATGAAGACAACTATAAAATAGGCACAGAATCCCATAATCATTAAATCTTGCAAACCATGAATTGTGCCTTACAGTTATCTATCTATCATTCTAACCAAGGATTTGCTTTTTCTAAACTTAAAATAAACATGGGAAGAGTTACGACTTCCTTCACGTCGAATAAATGAAAGTTCTTGACACAAGAACGAGTACCTTGCTGGATGTCGTCAATCTGTGTTCCCGTATTTATATCCTGATTAATGGTAGTCGTTTAGTTTCATGGCAGTTGACTTTGTGTTTAAATCTCACAGCCATCGACAGGATCGATGGCGTAACTATTGTTTTTTTCAAGACAACACATAGAGACTATAGTTGTGTCAAAAATAATCAAAATAATGATCACGCAAAACATCGAACCATTACGATCTTCTGAAGACAAACTATTCACGATGCTTTGGGACAATCGACCAGCTTCATTCTTCCCATAAAGTACCAAAGGCATCTTATAGTCCGTCATCTATTGATGTTTTTCCTTTCTCCTTTAAGATCAGTTTCGATTAGAAATACCGTTGTAATCTCAAAAGGAATATTTGCAATATCTCTATGGAAGAACACGACAGTGCTATTGAACTGAAAACCAACTGAAACATAAAGATTATTGGACTTTGATTATGGATGGTGTTCATCTATATTCTGTAATCGTTAACTCGCCAGTGTGTTCAAAAATTAATGAACTTCGCAGGGGGACTAATCAATGGGGTGTTTAAACCTCACAATACGCTAAACCATTCCATCTGTAACGATTCTGCATGAGGATGTTTTCTTTGTATAATAAAAGTCTACTTAATAACGCTTCCCTTGCGGGCACAAAATGTTCTGCACACAAGGTTTTGGTTGTTTCCTGATGACAGAGTTGCATATACAATATTTCAATGGAGACTAGGTTTATTTCCAGCTTATATTACCACTGATATGCAGAACCAAATATCTTTCAAAGACCTGGTTTTAATTTCAAATTTGTATGGCTTGTCAAACGGGAAATATGTGCTCGAAATTGCAATGAAGCTAAATGGTACTTAACAATGATGTGTTGTAAGTACAAGTCATTTAAAGTTCTGAGAATGTATGTTTCAGTTGTTTGAAGTGAATGTGGCAAATCATTCAACGACACTGTCAGTTTGATGCATGACATGTTGAAGTGCATTATTATGCAGTGTGTTTTAGCATAACGTACATGTAACCCTGTTTCACTGAAATATAGCCTTATCGTTTTAACTGAATTCGAATTTCGCAGAATCTATCAGCGAGATCGGCTTTCTCGTCTTGGGTATTTTCGAGTGGCGCCGATATATTATTTTCTTATTATATGGTATTTATATAGCGCACTTTTCCAGGCAACTAGTGCATGCTCAAGGCGCTGAGCATATATCATTGGTGTTGCCGCCGAAAACTGTAGTAAAACATTCCCCGATAACAGAACCACAAACATACTGTGTGCTCCATGATAACACAATTGACAAGTTACAAATAATCCCAAAGGCAGAGCAGTCTACGAGATGCCAGTCTTTGGATCGATTCTGGCATCATTACCAGATATGATCTGTCTGGCCCTGTCCCAGAACACCGAGTCATCTTTATCTCTGAGAACAACGATAGGGCAGCCAAGTGGTTATTTAAAGCCTTCATTTCAACCAAAATCATTACACCAAATACCTGCGTTTGTGTTTTCAGTTCAGTTCTAATGTGCATGAAACCAATTGGATTATTCCCTTGCTGCAGTATTGCTAGATTATAAGTGGCTTAAATCCCTACTCGCCACATGCAACGCAACCTGTACTCTGACATAACAACCTAATGTATTTGTTTCCCTGTGTACTATGAAAAGAATCAAACAATTGAGTCAGACAATGTACTCGGGATTCACGTTGAAATGGCAGAGTATATTTACAAATACATTTAAATGTTAATAAATAAGCTCAGTTTTATCAGCACGGGGTCTCTGTACAGGAACATTTGTACTTATGTACCTGTCAACACGATTATGATATGATGAATAAGGCTTTATAAGCTTTCAGTACTCAATAACTCCAGTTGTTTGTGTCTACGTTGAAAGGTAGTACCAAGCATTCAAAGTATGATTGAACAAACTTAAATCCTTCAAGGCCGTACTCATATTTCCAAAACTTTAGTATGGTAGATTCGTGAAAGACATGTTAATTGTGATACATTTAACGTTCAAGGTATTGGTAAAGTTTTCATAACGTTTTACGGTAGACATTTCCAAATTTGATACATCAGAGATGTAAACAGATGGTCGATGCAAGTCCCTATTTTGATTTGAAATATATGTTCGCGATCCTTTTAGGTGAACAATTGACTTGCCTTTGCAAGTGTTTTTGACGTTTGCCATCGGTGAGACACCACGTATAATCATAGAACCGCATGCTTAGTGGACAGTACTTTCAGTACAGTCTTATTATAATGAAGCTTTTATTGTGGTTGTCAATTCACAGTGTCTCAGTGTTCAAAGTTTGCTTTGGAATATTTACACTCGTTGTATAAAGAGCATTACAAAACAAGCAAGTGGACCATTACACATCTTTCTTGCCTAAACGTTTGACGGCAACCGGTGATAATGAATCAATGAGGAGTTAAATGTTTCCATGAAACGGTTTCTCAAATTCTGATGTTAGACAGCGTTACAAGTAAACAGTTATTATAAATGTTATGAATGTCTACTGATGGTTCAAAATGCTTTATACAATAACTTTGTCTTCAAGAAATAGGTTTATGGGGTTTCAAATCAAATTCCTGATCATCAATCACAGAGAATAAACGGAGCCCCGTTTCACAAGGCGGCCGTATCTCTTCGGCTATCTGATATCTTTAATATCCTTAACAACAGTCATTACTGGCACTCTGTAACACAGGGCCCCAATCTAAACGCCAGTCCACAGAGATATTTACACTCGTCCATGTGTCATTCGTTTAAACCGCAGTGAAACAGAACAAGAAGGTGACTGGATTCACAAATCAGTTTCCTTTGTAGACGCATATCAGTTTCTTTGGAATTACAAGCCACTTTATCAAGCAGGTAGGAACGTTACAACATTGATTAACTGAAACACTTACTTTGATCTTCTTCATGGCTTGCTGCTCGTAAATAACGTCGTCCCTAAATATCACATTATCGAGTTGACGTTATTTTCGAACACAGTATTCGTCACATGTATCGATACCCTGCAGGGCGTGAGATGAATAGTCTTCAGTAGGCACTGCATTGTGTTTGTGGGCTTGAAGAGTTTAGCACATTCAAATCGAAAGATATTCCGGCTCGATGTAAATACCTTTCCATATTTGCTCAGTCGCCTAACAAGGGAACCAGAAATTTGAATGTGTGTGTATGTGTGTGTGTTATATGACAACCGAACATATTTGATGTCTTCTCTCTTTTAACTCTCATAACTGCTCATTCTCCAATACCATATATGTTACCATGCATTTGATCAGTTGTATCGAATCACAAATATCTGATTTGAGGCTACCAAGGATGTTTATGGTCTTTCTCAGTTATAGTCGGTAAGTATTTGTGTTACTGAATAATAACATACAATGAAGAATCAAATACCTTCATTACATACCTTTTAGGAAGAAAACACGTCAATATAAATCGAAAAAGAGAATGAAATGGTAGATTCAAATATGGAGGAATATAATATTGCAAAGACTAGAAAACCTCCAAAAAATTTAGATGAAAATAGCCACAAAACAAGAAATGACAACGAATCAAATTTATGAAATCATAATTACGGATACGGGTCTGTAGATTTAAAGGACTATACACACACACCATCCTGCGATGTCCCGGTCAACTCGATGGAGTCAATCAGGCCACAAGGGGTATCCGATCTGTTTCATTGTCTTATCATATGGACAATAAAGTGTCGAAACTGGATTCGATCTAATCGAGTATAGCGAGCCTTGTGGTCAGAGTCGACAGCCTAGAGAGAAATGTACGGGAACTGAGGATAGTAATAGACAACATTGAAGAAGACAACCGTATACCAGGACAAGATGATTGGCGATATTGACGTGATGCTAAGCAATCAGAGTAACAGATTTGATGCCGTAGATAAACGAATTCAAGAGCAACAGTGCAATTCTGTTTTGAATATCAAAGTTCTGCATGAGAAAGTTCTTAACGTACAATCAAGATCAGTGGGAGACAGTTGAGTGTTTGTCGGAGTGCAGGAGAACAAAGATGAAACAGTGAGGTTGATCTGAAAAACAAATGAATTTGATACAGTTCATAGGCTTGGATGTTCACGTAACGAGCAAGAAATGAAAAACAGGCCTAGACCAATAGTAGCTAAATTTAACAGTTACATGGACAGAGAATTAATCGTACAAGCTGCGTTTGGTAGACTGGAGGGAACACGGGAGTTCAGAGAACAGTTTCCCAAGGAGATCGAAAACTAACGTTAACAGTTCTATCCAGTCAGGCGATATGCTCATGCTTCAGGAGATCGTGTTATTCCAACGGCAAATGGAATCTGCATCAACGCTAAACGTTACGAGGTAAGAAAAGCAATTCGTTGCTCAAAGAATGATGTGATCAGGCGAGATCATAGACTGGAGGAACTATCAAGACTTAGGACACCTTCAGATGTGGCCTCAACAAATCCGGCAACAACTACAACAACAATATATAAGCTATGTACGGTATAGGACAAGATAGAACATACATCCGTATTTAACAAGACATTCAAAGTCTGAATTTGTTCAACATATCAATAGTTATGATATCCTATGTTTCACTGAAATCAAGTTGAGTGATCTTAACACTGAGATACCAAATTATGAATTATTTACCAATAACAGAAACAAATGACAGAAAAAAACTGACCTCTGGTTGTATCTACCTAATACCTGGCTGTGCATATATTCCTCGAGGGGGCTTTAAATACTTTGTCAATTATCATTTTACGGTCCTGGAATGTTATACAATTAATATATGCAGAAAAGCCATGTTTGTCTTACTGGTGATTTCAACTCGGGTACAAATACCCAACTCTGATAAAATCAACATAAATGAGGTTATTGCAGACTATACTAAAGTCGTTGAAGTTATCTACTCTGCATGGATTATACAGATGTTACAACTAAAATTACTAATGGAATAATGACAAAGGCATAGCATTTTCCAATCAACTTGATTCTGATTATATCGTAGTTTTACAATATGCAAGAATGCATAACTCCAATCACCAAATCGCTTTCTTCCAATTACAGAAAGCGAAATAGCTCGTGCAGTGAAAGCGCAAGCACCACAAGGCTTGCAATTTTGATGGTGTACACAGTGCATATTCAAAAGTAACGCTTCAAACTCGCATGCCTATATGTGTTTAATTGTTTGATTATGTTAATTTTGAAGTTCTACCCGAATCGATGTTCATACCTTACATCAGACCATTTTTAAGATTAACTGATTTCCAGCCAGTCCTAATAATTACAAAGGTATTACAACTGTAAGCTGCTTGCATACTTTTGGATAGATTACAAACCTTCATAGCTTACATTGAACTAAGTAAAGCACAAGCTGGTTTCTACTACCAATCATGACTATATACTGAAATATCTTGCACATGTTTATAAAGGTCTTAATAATAATTATACTATGCTTTTATATATTTTGGTTAGGCGTTTTATACTGCTTATAGAAATGGTTTAAGGGTTAAAATGAATAAAAGTAATAAATGTAACCGGTGTTTTAACATAATTTACAATGTGTTTAAACAAAGTAAATTTCGTGCTAAGCTTGGTAATTCTGCTGTACATACTTACACTGTAATATTGAAAATGTATCCGTATGTAATTGTAATATTTATAACACACGCACAGAGCGAGAGGGTTGGGGGTTGGGGGTTGGGGAGGCTTTTATCAACCATTTGGTTCGTTGCATTCTATGAAAATCTCGGTATGTTCTCTATATCATCTTCTGTTCTATGTGAATAAATTCTTGTTATGTTGTGTTCGATGTGATGACTAATTGGATCTTTATTGAAGGGGCATCTGGGTAACCGGGATTGCTAAGCATTTGCACGAACCATTAAACCCATGCAACATACGCCATAAAGATTATATGAATCAGATTTGAAAGGTTTAAGCTTTGATGAACAATTCAGCGTGCAGTTATTTCAGATGATAAATATTTGTCCACAGTTTGCGGTTAAACCGTGTCAGCAGTACTGTATCCTTAACGAAATTTGCCTTGATAGTCTAGAAGCTGTTAATAGACCTTACCAGACGTTTGCAAAACGATTACCTAAGATGAAAGTAAATACTTTGCCAAATATGTTCATCAGAGTAATTCCCCTTTAATTCATGTCGTCGTTTCGTGATGTTTATTGTGTGTTGGTTAAAATCCAGTTAAGAATTATGCAGATACATTTTAAGAATATGATTTTACAAAATATAATCGATTGGTCCAACCGGATTTTTTAAAACTTATTATAGCATTACTTGTTACGCATTTGCAAGTATTACCTTCGTAAATACGATATCAATATCAAGATGTATCTGTCCACACAGTTGAACAATTCACTAGAATAGGGTACATGCGTTCATATATATTTATGTTAACTCTATTCTCTTTACTTTAATTGGCATTCATTGTAGACACTAGGAATTGTCAGCATGAACATATTTAACAGCAAAGATACATGAAAAAATACATGAGAATTATTGCGTTCATATGTCATGTTTTCATATGTACCGGTTTTACTGTTGTGCCCATACACGAAAGGAATATCAGACTTCTCAAGAAAGAACCTGAAAGATGAAAGAGACACTTATAACTAATGAACGTAATCACGTTAATGCCATAAAAACATCTAAGAGCAAATTGCGACATCAAATGATGAAGACCTCGTGAATTCAATTGAACCTGCTGCTTTGACCCAAGCTGTAGATTATATAAACGTGATGTTATGATGGTTAAAGTTAATCGTCAATGTAAGAAGTCGCTTCTATGAAATGAAGGCAACGATAAATATTCACAAGGTATATTTTCACTGTTTTTCCAATGGAGTTGCCATGATCTGGTATTGCGACATCAATAAATGTAAAAGTCAGAGAATGCAGTACTTGTCTTACCACTAGCTTTGATGTAATCGTAAGACAGATGATACATCAAAGTGAGGTCTAATGGCGTTTGAATTATTCTTCATGAAGGCATTATGGCTACTTTATGTACGTCTAAGTATAGGTACTTAAGCATTGTGATTGATGAGGTAAATTATGTTGCGGAAACTACATATATATGTTGTAACAGATTCCCTTTCATCTCACACATTCTATACTGATTTCATAATTTAACATAGTTGCTAACAAGGAGACTGTGTTTCTTATATATCAACTAGTTATATATAGAATATTACACAGAAGTGTGATATAAGCTCAAAAGGATGGACTATGTCAGATAAACTGCCTAGGATTACTTTGGTTATCGATCAGCAATGGAAAATTCAGTAATAGCCTCCTTTACCGGTGTATAGACGTCAGACAGGCAGTCTTTATGTCTGGCAGGTAGACGTTTACCATTCGGCGAAAATAACGAGCAGGGGCATATTATTTTCAAACAAAGATGCATAGTCATAATCATCAGGCGACCAAGCACTCGCCCACCTCACCCACACAAAACACACTGGAAGTGGTCCATTTACGGAGAGCATACATGTATGTTCCTTGGCAGATGGTATTAGTTTATTGCACAAATCATATCATTTCAGAGAAAGCGTGAATGCACATGTCGCAACTCTGTTCTCTATCAAATCGTGCTTATTTCATGGCTACAAATATCAGTTTAACGAAGGAGGTAACAAATGCAATCATATAATCACTCTTTTCGAAGTTCTGGTTCTTCCATCCATTTAGCTATCAAGCAGGACTCTTGTTATATAGAGAACTGAATGGTGTTGGTTTATCATGTGTTACCATGCAACAGTAGCGTCATGGCACATGGATCAATCAGTATAGTAATTAATAACAAATCCATAATCATAATAATATATAACTTAAACGCCATAAAATAATCTGTTTCGTTTACGCAAAAATTAGGTATGCACTTATCAGTCGAATAAAGAATGTGTGCTGTACACACTAGTATGATTATCTTCATTGGTGTACATGATGTGCAGTTCATATATTGCAGTTGACCTTTAAGACTGCTTAGGTTATAGTGGCAAATGAAATATGGATGACCTCAGTCAATTTGAACAATATCTC